TGGAAGAAGTTCCGATGCATCAGATGAGATCTGCAAAAGCAAGGAAAATATAAACATAAATAAAACTGATAGAAAACACACATCAGGCAAAAAAAAACTTGTAATTGAATTGCAGAAAATAACTACATGGTCTAAGTGTTGCGACACAGATGGTGTTTGCATTCCAACAGATCCTGTATCTTCATGCAAAAAAAAAAAACTAAATAATACTAACTAAATTTTATAAAATAATACCAACACACTTCACACCTGTATGTGAGGCAACATGTGTGAATATATGTATTTCTCCTTTTTCATATAGCTGCATAAGCTCACCAAATTCTTTTTGAGCTGCCTCGAGTCTTTCTGAAAAATTATTCAAAAACATAAAAAAGAAAATAAAGTATGTAAAATTTCAAACTATAAAAAATATACTTCAATCAAATATTATAAATTCATGATCTATAGAATACCTTGACGTTTGTCTTCCGCTGTGGTTTCCCTAGGCTGCATGCCTTTGTCAATATCAACATTTACAGCTTCATTCATTTGTGAACCAACGTCTAGGAGCATTGGAGTATTCTCTAGAAGGTTTTTCTCAACTCTACCTTCATTCAATTCAGCATCATCAGAGAGTTTTTGAGTTGTGTCAATTGAAGCACAACTAGTTTCAACTTCCACTGCATATTCATAAAGAGGGTGAATAGATCAACTAGTTTTTCTATATATATAACATAGAAAAAATTTATACCTGTAGTGAAAATTTCACTACAGGATATTATAAAAAAACAGTTAAACTTCAACTCTAAGAAGGCTGAAGTTAGACAGTCACAAACAAAAACTTCGACAGTTACAAAAAAAAATTCGACAATTACAAAAATAAAAACTTCAGCTCTAGAGCTGAAGTTCACCAGTTACAAAACAAAACATTCAGCAAAAAAACATGCTGTAGTTTTTACAAAAAACACAAACACATGAAACAAAACTTCAGCTCTAATCTAAGGTATCATTGAAATATTATAAACTTCACACTTTATACCTATAGTAATAATTTCCTGTGTATCACCACCTAGAAGTTCTTTGCAAATAACTAGTAATCCTGCATACCGATCGTCTTTCCTAATAGTGCTAGACACATCACTCGCTTTCAGTTCTAAAGTACAAACAAGTGCTTGATCTCCATCACCAAACAAATTGCCTTTTCCAATATCACTTTCCAAAGGACAACTCGGTGCATATTTTTCAGTGCCAACAACTAGATCATCTGAACCTTTCTCAGTGAATACTCAATGAATCACTAGGCATGACCAGGTACGGTGCAAAGTAAGATAACACATATGAATACGTAGACCCTAGATCAAATAGCACTGAAACATCTCTATCACAAACCAGAACAGTACATGTAATAACTGCATCTGAAGCCTTAGCCTCGGGCCTGGCTGGAAGTGCATAACATCGGGGCTGGGCCCCACCACCTTGAACTGCCTCTCCAGGACGGCCTGCTGCTGGTTGGCCTCCACCTCTGGCTAGGGCTATGTATTTGGATCGGATATCCAAAATCCAAACCAATCTGCTTAATTTCGGATTTTGGATTTCGGATATTTGGATCGGATTCAGATTTGCTTTATTAAAATTTCGGATTTTCGGATTTGATTCGGATTTGTATTGTTTGAACCCGATCCGATCTGAAATCCGAATTTATTAGGGGAAGTATAAATACTAATTTTATTTTAGGGTTAGGTCTTATTTCATTCTCATTCTTTTCTCACAGCCATATCTCAGAGACTCAGACTTTTACTCTCATAGAGACAGAGTCACGCCACAAGTTGCTCCTGCTCGTCGCTTCCTCTGTCTCTTCTCTGTGTTCCGGCGACCGGCGACCGCATTGGTAAGACACTACGACTCACTCCTTCTCTCTCGTTCTCTCTCTGTCTCTCTTTCTCCCCCTTTCTTAGAGCTTAAATGAAGTGTTTGTTCTCTTTTATTTCTTGGATAAAATTGATGAAATAAATTGGGGGTTTCACTCTTGACTTTCTTAAACAGAAATATACCATACTATAATGGGGCACACATCATTTCCTTCGTGATGTACCCAGGCCAAGGCTAGTTGACATGACGTCTTGTTATGCTCAAGATTCTCAGCTTGAAGTCTTGGTATATGCTGCAAAATCAATATATATATATATATATATATATATATA